ACTGGTCTGATTTATCCAGGCAGATTTCAAGGGAAAGGTATTCATACAGCAGCCGCCGCTTGCTGAGAGCACACAAAGCCCTCAGCTAGAAGCACATGAGAATCAGTTCAGGAAGAAGAGAACGCTGGATTGTGTCAACAGATGTTGGTAAGCCATCTTCCAGGCTGAAATTTGTCCTGGACAGCAAAACCAAGTGCTCCTAGAGAGCAAAGACAGCGGGGCCACCAGCAAAGCCCATCAGCTGCACATCAGCCCCACTGCACCAAGAGATGCACTCAGTACCCACAGCACCCCGAGCTCCACTGCTCCAATGAATAACCTCACGTTTGGTCAATAAGTGCAAAGAAGGACAGCCCAATTCTTATCATCAGGCTCCCAAGAGATTTGACATCCTTGGCATTGTGTCCTAAGAGGAAGGAAATTTCTCACTTCCCCAGCTATTTCAGTTATATAAATCAATTGTTGAAGGATAGCTGAACCGGTCTGCACATAGGAACTCAGGCCACTGCCTGGGCTGCTACACACGGGCAACACCAAGATGTGGTCCCTGGGTCCCTCAGCACCATCACCCAACACCAACCCCCCTCCACCATAAGACATCACCTCTTATGAGCCACCTCAGGTCGCTCCATGAGCATCAAGCTACCGGTTAGCAATGCCAGGCAACCCAAAGGCAAACACTGCAGGTATGCTGGTGTCTCTCCTGGTCACTAACGCCCTAATTATCTGCAGCAAGGACTGATGAGGCAACAGAATTGAAATGTGAACGTTGTACAACGGAGCTGCAGTAAGGACAAGGCAACTCGCACACAGCAGTGATGCATCCATGGGTCCAGCCACGCTGCGGCCATTCCTATCCCCCCGAAGCTGAATTTAAACTCTCCCGACCAAAAAGACCCAAAGTTTGTTCTCCTGTGATTAAGATAGATTTGGTTGGTGTGATTTGGTTCAGTAAAACACAGCACCTGTTACCCTGTGACTCCCTATGGCAGTCGGCCCTCCAGTGTGCACGCAGCACCCGCTGCCTCTGGTGTTCAAACCGGGGCAACAAACAGCATTAGTAAGGCTTCCAAAACCATCCGCACTGCACAAAAGGGAACTGATCAGCAAAGGGATACTCTTTAGCGTGTCCCCTCATTTCTCCTTGGCTGCAACACAATTTTGGCTGCAATACAAAATTGGTATTTTTGGTTGCAGGCCAAAATTGTGAAACTGGATACTACATCAGCCCAGAAAGATGATGGAAGCCCAGCACCCGCATGGAGGGAGGGCACGAGCGGCAGGCTGGGGGGAAGTGCTTCTCAAAGAGGTGTTCTTCCAAGCAGGGGGTATTTCACACCATGGCAGATACTGCAGAACCCTGCATGCCAAGGGGTGCGAGTGGCCCGCAGGATCTGAGAGCTGGGCAGTTCTAATTTGCTGCTCCATGCTGGCCTGAGCAGTAGGAAAGCTTCAAGTCCTTCTTCCACAGCATCAGGATACCACTAGGAAACACTTTCCTCCATAAAGAGAGTAAATCTCCACTATTGCTTTTACTCCTCCTCCCGACTTCGGGAATTGCAGCAATGCACTGCCAGGTTCTGCAGACTCCCCAACTTCACACTGAAGGTAACAGAGCCAAAAGCATCAAACTCCCTTTGGCCCAAACAGCTGAACTCCATCGAGATGAGAGCCATCCACTCACAGATAAATCTAGCCAGGGCTTTTTCTTCTTTTTGCTGCACTAAGGAGGTTGACACCGCAGTTCTGCCTCTCACGCACTTGAAGCACTCAGTCTGTCACGATGGGAACTGGGCAATTAACTTTGGATGAAAGCTACTTCACATTCTCCGAGGAGCACTCAAAAGTTAGAACGCTTGTTTCAAAAAAGGAAAAATAAAGCACACAAGCTGCTTTTTGTCTTTTCCTGGTCCCCAACTCACTGCTTGCAGACAGTCTGCCTCCCTGCACGGTGCTCCGGGATCATTCACAGCATTGAGGTGGGATGGAGGCACAGAGCAGCACCTCGGGATTGTTCTGTCTGCGTGTTCACATCGCCAGGCTGCTCCCTATGAGCTTCAGCCACTGCCTGAACTCAATAAACTCCTGGAAAAGCCTTAAGAAAAAAGTGATCTGTGCCACGGAGTGAGATGAGGAGAGCTCAGCCTGAAAGCTCAATCTGAAAGCAGATTGCTGTGAGAAATTCATCTTCCCTCTGCAAACTTTCTGCTTGTTGCACTTAGGAGAGAGCTGCAGTCCTTCACACGGTTTTCTCCTCATCCGATCGTGCTCCGTGCTCAACTCATTCAAACAAACACCAGCAACGCCGGGTTCCTGACTCGTTCAGCCGTTACATTTCAGCGTCCTATTCAGGTTAAGCAGAAAGCAGAGCGTTCCTTTGCCTTACAGCCCTTCATCGGGAACGCACAGCCAAGAGCCCGCATCGCATCGCATCGCATCACCGCTCTCCTCGTTCTCAGCCCGGCTTTTCCATCGCGGAGAGAAAAGTTACGAGGAAGGCGGCGGATCGATGATGAATCGCGTTCCGAGCGGCACACGGCAGGCCGGGGGGGGGGGGGGGGGGGGGGGGGGGGGGGGGGGCGGGGGGGGGGGGGGGGGGGGGGGGGGGGGGGGGGGGGGGGGGGGGGGGGGGGAGGGGGGGGGGGGTGCGCGGAAGGTGGCAGAGCACAGACAGGACACAACTTTATTCGGAACCGCGTTCGCTTCGTCTACGAACCCAACGGCCCCCCAAGCGGAGCGGCGGCACCGCCGGGAGGAGAAACGCGGGGTCGGAGCGGGCGGGGATCGCGGCGCGTTTCGCACCGCACCGCACGGCGCTGGCAGCGGCCCCGCACGCACCTCCATCTTAGGATCTTCGGTCCCGCGGCGGCTGCGGCCCATCTGCCCCCCCCCCCCCCCCCCCCCCCCCCCCCCCCCCCCCCCCCCCCCCCCCCCCCCCCCCCCCC